CAAAACCATATAAAAACTTCCTTTTTTTTTTAAATTACATCTTTTTAGCAAATACTAAGTCATTAAAATAAATTTGAATTCAAATAAATGACATGTAATTCGTTAAGCCTATTAGAAATGTGCTATGGTATAATTCATGATATAAATCAAAAATCGTCAAATAAATTCGTAACATATAAATTAGTGAAAAAAAGCGCTTTCGACAAAATACTAAAATAGAGATCCATCGACAAAGACTGCTGACTTCTGCCTAGCTTAATAGTATGAGATTGCCGCAGCTGATGCTCTCTGGTTATTTCAGTTTCCGTTTTTAAAAGCGCTATATATCGAGCCACCTCAGCTAGATTTGGCATGTGACATTTTTAGCGGCAATCATTGGTCGATTCGCCGTCAAAGAAAACGTTGCCACCGGTGGAAAAGAAATACAGCCAAAATTTGGGAGCCACGTAAGAGAATTATATATATTAGATTATTATGTATTTTCCATTCGTCAATGCATATTTTTAAAGATTAGATGTTCTCACACTAAGAACCGAAGAAATTTTCCGACGTATATCCTCAGGTAGACTCTAAGTAATCACTCAAGCTCTGGTGGACTCGGATCTTATTTTATAACCAACCGTCGTTAAAAAGCTGACCCAATTTAAGATTTGCGGCTACTTATGTTCAGCTCCGTAGCCTTGTAATTCTGAACCCAATCCGGAAGACAAAGGAACTCCTAGATCAAGTATTAGGATTTTGAATTCTTGGAGGACTGTTTGATGAAACTAACTCGTTTGCGTTGCCTGGGGAGGAAGACCGTGAAAACCTTTATGGTTAGCCTGACAGTAACGGATCTCTAACCCATGATCCGTCTACCACTGAGGATATTTTACATTCGAACTGTGGTCTGTGCGACCCGTTTTCGAAATTCGAATTGACCAGTTATCACTGGGATCGCACCTGGGTCTCCTCATTTGGATGTGAGAGCTCTATTCCTTCGGTGGAGATGAGCGACTCTTCGAACTTGAGCAGCTTTGGATTTCCCGAACTCATCTCGAAAAGTTTTCAGTTAAGTTCAAGAACTCATTTTGTAATGGCTTGACAGTACTTGAAACTATGATCTACGATTTCAGTTCTTCTGTTAAGAATTTAAATTGATAAAAACAATCCCTTTTTTCCACTTAAAAACCTTATTTTCTTCAAAGTACGTTTAAAGTACATGAAAATTTAGTCTATGAACAGAACCGTAGTGTTCAATTTATGAAAAAAATGAACTTGCATTTAGTAGTACATCTGCATAAGAACAGTAAATTTGAGATCTGTATTTTTTTCATAAAAAAAATTTATTTGCTTAGATAAATTTACAGATGTATCGCATCTGATTTGTTAATTCATGTTATGTGTGTTCTACCATTGGTTAGCTTAGAGAGTGTTGGATTACAATGGAAAACGTCTTTTGGACATATTTGTGATATAAAGCGAGGAAAAAAAGCCGCAAAATTAAGCAATCCAAAAATTATTCATCAACCAATCATCAAAAATCAAACATAACGCAAATTTACAAAACTACATATGTTTCTACTTGCAACTTCAATAATTTTATTAAGTATGTTAAAGTTCCATACGTAGTGGGATACCTGCTAATGACGTAGTGTGAGTAGCCCCTAAATTAGAGAGGCCGACTTATCATTCATTTCGGAGCAAAAGCTTTTCCATCAATAATGAAGAGCTACAAGATTTGGCAACTTATCACTGCAAATGACGTTTACCTCAACTATAGAATAATCAGTAAAGAAAAGCGTGAATCGATAAGCATTGTTTTTCGGAAACTTTTTTTTTTATATTTATACAAATTCATTGCAAATTTTGTTACAGATTAAAAGTGTTAAATAAGAAACTGTATATGTGTTGCATGCCAATTACATCAATCTTTTTTTTAATGATTTCAGAGTAAATTTGGCACTAAATTCTGCTTCTGTTAGATTTGGGTTTTTCCAATTTATTTTCAGGTTTTTTTAACAAAATTAAAATAGAAAAAAAAACATGTTTTAATCTTAAATATTTTTAAATATGTTTTCGCAATCAAAATAATTAAATTTATAATGCAATATTCTAAATGTAAATGTATACAAACACGTGAAATAATAAATTTTGCTTCAAAATCAAGAATTAATTTGAAATTAGTTTTTTCATTTGAATTAAGAGTTTTAGCTATTATTATTATATAAAAAGAATTAATGAAGTAAACAGAAACTAGAGTTTTATGGGGAGGGTAAGAAACGAAGCATAAAAATGTTTTAAATAATTTATTTAGATAAACATCTTGTTTCTAATCACATTTTCATAACATTTATTTAAATAAGTAGAACATAAATAAAGAATACAATTTTAAAAAAATATATCTATATATTATTCATTGCTAGATAGAAATAGTTTTTACACATTTTTGGTTCCTTAATAATTATAAAATAATAAAAATTAAGGAAATTTAGAGAAATTAATAAATTTATAATAGCATTAGATTTAAGATTATCTAAAATTGATCCAGGTTTAGGACAGCCTATTACTTTCAGTCTTTTTGGGGGAATTTTTAAGGGGAAAGTTTAAAAAGTTGTTGGAATAGCTTCAGATTTTGATTTATTGTTAGCATCTTTTCTGTTTATTTCCAGTTGAGATTCTTCAAAATGAACCTGCAAAAATAGTTAGAATACTTTTTTTTATTTTCATACTTAAATCAAATCACATTAAAAAAATTTTGAATTTACAATTTTTAAACATACTCCCATGAAATTTTCTAACACAGAAACTAATAATTTCAGAAATTGAACACAAGAATTACAAAGAAAAAAAAAACATTGGTAGATCCAAAAATACATGAAAGATCGCATATGAAATAGATTTCTTATGATGAAAGTAAATAAATCGCTTGAACATCAGGCGATATATTACCATAAATAACTAAAAAACAAACTCAGATTAGCCAAGATTAAGAAAGTAGCTACTTGATCTTAGTGAAATAAAAAGGAATACAATAAAAAAACAGGTAAATATTTGTTATTAACAAAAAAGAAATACTTAAAAGTGAATAGAAAGCGTGACGATTCTGAAATAAGTTTGGCGAATACTTATTCAGCCAATCTCTTGCCTTAATTTATTGGTTTTATTGCACATAAAAACTTAAAATTTGTTAAATAAATCAATAGATGCTGTTTGAAAGCCATATTTTAAATAACTATATACTTAATAAATGCAATTTTCAATGAAAATTGTTATATTTGGTACATAGTTGAAACTGTACAATTCAAGTAACCCTGAAAGTTATTCACTTATTTTTAAGAAGAAAAAAAAATAGACGAAAACAAGCATTCAAAAACTAATTCTAGCAACCTAATATCGTTTATAGGTAAAAAAAAACTTGAGGGTGCCCCTTGGTAAAATTGGCGACTTATGTTTGGCACCACTCCTGTTTGCGCGGAGCACCGTGGTAACAGGAATCGCGGCCAAAACATAATGATATTTCAATAAAACAATGGAAAATTTCAACAAAGCATCAGCCAAAACTTTAAAAAATTGCAACGAACCCAATATAAGCAAAGGTAATAAACCCAATAAAATGTATTTTGAATCGAAACAGAAATTAATGGAGTAAGCACAAAAAGAAAAGAAGAAAATCGACTCACTTCTTCATTAAGAATAAATGAGCATTTACCTCTCATTAGCGAGCTCCATTTCCAGGCAGCCAGTTGTATCTTCTGCAATTTATTATCCGTTTCTTCTTTCTTTTCAAATTTGAAGGAAATCTGAGCATTCAAAAGCCTTTTTTTGAACTGTTTGTACCATTTACTGCTGCACAACCATCCATATCAATAATTTTAGGTTTCCAAATTGTCTTTAAACTCTCACGCTAATACTAACACAGCGTTAACTTGCGAACTTGCCTGATTCAACATGGCGGATAGTTCAGCTCTCATAGTAAAGGAGCTTTAATTGATACTGATTGGTTGTTGAAACGTGGCATTTGTTAACGTCAGCAATTGTTCTATCCTTTATATTTCGAGGAAACCAAGCCCGTCAATTATCAATTCTTTTAAGTGGCGTAATCTATATTCTTTCACGAAGATTTCAATTCTTTAAACATATATATATTTAACACCAAGACAGGAGCAAAAGCATGTAGGACATAAACAAACTAACTATGCATCGAAGTTGCCAGTTACAAAAAACAAAAATATTTTACGATTACAATAAAACGCATAAACAAATAATAAATCTCAGTTATGAAAAAGACGTAGAAGTGAATAAATCATATTTCAATAAATTCGATGAGTGATACGGCGCTGTATTTAAGTAACTTACTGTTAATTATCATTCTGACTTATGATGAGAAACTTAGCTCAACTTTAACTCACCATTTTGCTTATGACTACCATCTGACGTCATAGCTCACATGTGCTGGTATCTTCTTCTTGTAGTACAAGTACCTAATCATAAAAATAAAATCTCAACTGTTTCATAATTGCTCCTTTTTTTAATTCTTTGATAAAAGCATAACTAAATTTATCTTAATATATAGTGATAATTTTTAATTTTGTGCTATTTAACACGTTTTACCGTTAATATTACACTAGATTTTAAGTATTTCTTTATGATACTTGGCATACCAGGATTCTTATACTTGCGTAAACACAAAAAACTAGATTTATTATGTCGTTAACAAGTGAAAATAAATAATGCGGACGCCTTTTAAATAAAATCAATCAAATGAACTACAAGTTCTACAGATGAATGACAACAAATACAAAACTTTAATCTTTTAATAACTAATAATTTAGCATCAAAAACGGATTCTAAAAAATTATAATTCTAAATTACAACAAAAAAGAACAACAACAAAAACTATCTCAGGTTGCCACGCAACCTAAAGTGAAATATTAAAACAAATAAATCTAAAGAAAATTAAAGGTGGCGCTTCGGTCAAATATACATACGCTAATAACTTAAAATCTTAAACAACATCCATAAAAATAATAAAATATTAAAAATAAAAAATTAATTTCAACGTTTAAAGGAACATTGTCTGTGTAAGGTAGACTTTTCAACGCCCAAAAGCATCCATTATAATTAAATTTAAAAACAACAAATTATAAATATATCTGGTGGAGAAAATTTTAAAATAACAGCTTAAATCTAAAAATATTTGCCGATAAGACTGGTGTACGAAAAAAAATGTGATAAACGACGACGTCTTACTTATTATTCTTGTCGTTTCCTCCGAAAGGTTACAATTTTCAGCAGTAATTGGAGAGAGTAGAAGACATAAGTACCCAATGAAAGCTTTAAAGTACAATTTTTTAGAAAGAAAGTAATCTTTGCTACATATGTGTACTCTTTGATTTCGGAATAAAAAAAAACATACCATTTACTATTCCCTTGAACTGCAGTGATAGTTTAGAGAATGAAGTTTTTTTCAATTTTTTTTAACCCTAGCTGCATAGTGGATCGAGTTTAAGATATTTTTTTATACTTCAAACTCACATAAAATTTCTGAAAAAATATTTAAAGTTTAAAAGTTTTACTCCGACAGACTCAACTACTCAATTTGTATTAGTAGAACATACTTATAATTTAATGGGCTAAGATTAATCTTTTAAGGAATTTTTTATTGGGTTGTTCAGAAAGTAATTTTATATTTTTAGATTTTTTTATGAAAATAAAAGGCGATTTCTTTTAATAGTGAATAAATATTTTTTGAATCATACGATTTTTTGAATCATATATTTTTCATTCTGGTCCAGCAACTTCTACCATCTTCCTGGCAGAAGCATGATGCTAAAATATTTGATTGAGACATTGTTGCAGACAACCCAATCAAAAACCGATCTACATACAATGTATATAAAAAAAACTTCTTTTCTTAAAAACGCGTGACTTTGTCAAGATTTAAGGTTATACCTTCGACTTTTAATGTCTGAATGATTTCATGAATTTTTATTCGCCGGTTGGAATCAATTAATACCTTTAATGTTTCTTTATCAGCTTATGGCTGCTGTTTTTCGAAGGCTCCGTCGTAATATGAAATGATGCTTTGCGAATAATAAGTTATCTTTATATAACTGCTGTGAGTTTGCAACTGTTACTCATGACTGTTGGGTCAAGTTTAGACTATCTAAAGCCAGCGCTGTCTATGCTTATTTTGAAAATGGCGCAAAACGTAAACATGGAGAAAAGCCCGAGTAATGTGAAAATGAAAAGCGTTTGCGGTCTATTTTTTAGTATTTTAAAACTTACTCTAATTCTGCATTACCTGGGATCATAGTAATGTTCCGAAACTGAGAATAAGGCTGTGATTTTGATGATTTTCATCTATGTGGAAACATGTCATCTAATTGGCGATTTTTTAAAAGTATAATAACTTAACTGGTTTAAGAACTGTCCGTTCGTTCTAAAACCCATATAACACACACACACGCACCCATTTCAAAATGTTTTTGACGTTGTTCCAGTTAGGATATTTTCGGTCTATTTCATAAAAAATAATTCTACTTCCTTCCTCGGACAGGAACAATTCATTCTTAAATTCCTTGATTTCTTTGGAAGAATCCAAGCACCAGTGTCAAAGATGCATAGCATATTCGAAGTAATAGCGATCTACTAAACTTGCTATTTGTTCCAGGCATAATTTTTTAAAATTTGCAACTATAATATGAGCTGTATTTTAAAAACTCCTCAAAAAAAATCCCACCCGTTTTCACCGGAATAACCTAATCCTTGTAATAATTGTATGCATGCCGTAGAATTACGTACGTATGATTGTTTAAAATTATTACTTTCATCTACACTTTTAAAACACCAATTCATAAATCGGTCAATAAGTCCAAAATCACCCAAGCATACTAATGATGTGCATATTGAAAACTTATTAAGTCTATTTTTCTTAAAGCTTTCAATCTCTTCAGTAGTTTGAATAACCCACTTTAACATTTCGTCTACTGCTTGAAAATTCTTGCCAAGAATCCATTCATGGTACAGTCCGTCTCCATACTTCTGTTCCAAACTTTCTTTGAAACGTTTGATATCACAATCTGACGGAAGAGTATTTTTTGCCAAAGAATCAAGCAGAGTGAATTTACTTAGATATAGAAGCTTCCGCAGCTCTTCACTTCCGATTAGGTTAAATATTACTTCCTTTTTATCATTGGCTGAGAAACTACTTAGTACTAAATTGATTGTTTCCAAGTCTTCAACAGAAAGCAAGTTACGAATGGCGTGACATCTATTTACTGGCAGACATGCGTTTTTGAGTCTTACTGGACTTCTACGCCAAATTTTTCTAAACAATTCCACAGTGTTTCTCCCTTCTTTGATTTCTCTAACAATGTATGTCATCGTTTTAGCATATGTGTCCTCTTCAAGATAGTCGAACATTAAATTAATTGTTGATAAGAAGAAGCGCTGATATGGCCAATCGAAAAATAAAGCTTTCAGTAATTTTTCAGAATGAATTTGAAAAACCTGGTTTTGATCCTTTAAATGAGATAACAAAAAACACAAAATATTAGTAAATACGTGATAGTTTTGGTATTCATATCTTCTACTCAATACTCTATTATATTTTTGTATAATTTGTTCTAACCAATTTTCTATATTAGCTTCTTTCTGTTCAGCCGTCAATTTGTGCCAAAAATATCGGAGACTAAATTCACTGCAAACAAAAATTGATAACGTAACCATGTTGTGATGAATGCTGAAATTACAGTCATAGATATTACGATGATCAGTCTTCTTAATCTAACTTAACAGATTCTTCATTTATGTAAGCAGTCCAATAATCATAACCATAATGGTTGCTCTTTTGCTTCAGATGTAAGTAATTTTTTTTTATCGAGTGGTATATTTTCCCATAAAGAAAAAACATCTAAACAGTATTTACACGCTAACTCATACAATTGACAAATAATGTTTTCTTGGTTTTCATTTTTGATCAGTTCTACAAGTGATCTACGTTTATCGATGATGCCTGTCCAATAAACTGTGTAATGTTTTTCAAAAAGATCTTTACAATATTCATCGTCTTTCGAATCGAAACATTTCAGTAACAGCAATCCAATAGGTCTGATGACATCAGATACTTTGATTTTTAGTAGATCAGGCAAGCGAAGATCTGCTAATTTCTCAGTTACTCTTTCTTCCAAATTATGATAAGCCTCTCTCGGTCCGGTGCATATAATTTCAGATCCATAGCGCATAGAATGCTACTTTACGTCCTCATTTATATCGGGTTCAGTCCACAGTCTTATTGCTATTGACGTAAGAGTTATACTTTCTAAAGTAGGCGGTTGAGATATATAGTCTGTATAACGTACGTTTCTTGAAGACTCTATTTTCACTTTCTTACATTGTACCTTATAAGTTATCTCTCCCCTTCGTTTTTGTCCTAAAAGATATAAGTTCTGCATTTAGTTTATAGAAGAAATAACTCAGCAGGTTAGAGTTCGGAAAAAATAGGATATGCTCAGATTTTAGGTTTTAATTTGAACCATTTATGCCGTATTATTGTGTTCATCCACTAAGCTACCTTTGAGGAAAATTTACATAAAAAATATTAAATTTTCCTTCAGAAATACAATTATTTTTTCTCTAGAATGGAACTTATAATTGTTTTAGGCACAGGTAGTATATAACGGTAAGTGGCTATTTCATATAATTCCTTTTATTTTATAACCGGCGTTGAATAGCCGACGCAATTCCGAGTTTACGACTATCAATGTTCAACTCGGTGGCCATGTAATATTGATCCCTACCCTGAAGACAAGGGAACTCCTTACTCAAACATTGGGACAGTCTGGCCTTCGTGGAGGACTTTTCGATGGTACTAACCAGCACTTGCGTAACATAAAGAGAAAAGGAACAAAAACCTCCAGGGTCAGCCTGACGGTAAGAAAATTAAAATCCATAATCCGTCTACCACTGAGGATAATTTACACCGTCACTGTAGTTGGTGCGAGCCGGAAGCAGAATTCTTAGCAATAAGCCACCCCTGAGATTCAAACCTGGGCCGTCTTACTGGGAGGCGAACGATCCATCCCCTGAGCTACCGCGGCTCCATATAATCTATTTAATGAAACACACAAGTAGCTTTTAGGTATTTTTCATTTACGATTAAAGACATATATCCTATTGTGAGGATAATCACACGATGCCAAACTCGTTAAAAACAATTTCTACTGAGATAAGTTGCGCTAGCACGCATTGATGTTTTGAAACCGATGTCAATGCAATGATTTTAAAAACTTATTGAAGCCTTTTTGAGGTTAACTAATATTTCTAAATACTGCTAATCGTTTACTCTAAAACTATAGCTACTAGAGCGTATCGTTACTACTCGGTCTGTGTTAATCTGGCTCTATTCTACGCACGCTGCCCTCATTCTGGGCCATGTTAAACAACCTTCAATAAAACAACTTCAAATCGAGATTGGCATAGGGTTTTCACGCTCGAAAAAAAATTATATGCATGAAGCTTGTCTTCAGGTGAGAAATGCCTTACATCTAGATTAGTATAAGGTTTATTTTTAAACGCAAAGTTTCTCAGCTCAATTCAATCTTGTGATGAAGTATTCGTTGACAATGTAATCGTAAATACTTACGAGCTAATAAAATCGCTTACGAGGAAAAAGCTAACAAACCCTTTTTGTCACACCAGAAACTACATTTTGATCCTGTTTTAAATTTTCTTAATATCATACACTGAGGTGACATAAGTCATGGGAGAGCAATATGCAAATATACATATGACAGAAGTATCGCGAGTAAAATATATATATAGGTAGTGCTCTGCCTGAAATTACATTTGTTTTCTAGTTATCTGAGAATGTTTCTGATGTAAATATGACCGCAAGACGAAAATTAACAAACTATGAACGAGGAATAGTAGTTGAAGATAGAAGCATGGGACATTCCGTTTCGGAAATTGTGACAAAATTCAACACTCTTAGATCTGTAGTTTCAAGAATACCTTATTTCGGCCATGGGCAACGTGGTGACCGACCACCTACACTTAATAACCGAATACGTCGATACGTGCGTAGAGCCCTTGATGCTAACAGAAAAGCAACATTGTGTGAAAAAAAGGCAAGCATCAATGCGGGACATGCCTGTTAGAAAAGTGTGACGAAATTCGGCTGTAAGGGGATATTACAGCAAATGACCGACTAGAGTGCCTCAGCTGCACGAAGGTGTTGTAACTGAAACTTTATCATTTGATCAAGAATGATGATTAAAAATACTTTTATATCACAGATTTTAAAATATCGGAAAATAAGAAATAAAAAAATTCATACCTATATTTTCCATATTTCTATTATATTCTTGATATTTCCTTTAGTTTAACATTTACTTGAATTTAAAATTAAATTCAAGAACCCAAACCTAAAAATCATAAGAAAATTTTAATAATAAGTATTTTTGCTTATTTTATCATGCATATTTCTTTTCATTAAAAGAGTTAAAAGTATTATTATCGTCATTTATTATTTTGATATGCTGTGTTTCCAACTTTTTCCAGAACTTAGAATCCATTGAACACAATTAAAATAACACTTAGCTTTGAGCTTGGCCGATGGTATGACCCTTTGGACTATTCTGTCATTTTCATTCAGCTAACATTGTCATGGATAACAAAATAAAGGATGGTCAACTGAGTTTAAATAATAATACGATTCTAAAATCGGAACGGAATCTTAGAAATTTCTTACAGCCTAAATATTCTAGGAAATTTTATTATTGAAATTGCATATTAATTTCAACATATTTTTACCAATCATAAGGTTATTTTGAATTTTATAAATTATATTTTCCATGTATATAGCACAAGAGTGGTTTTTAAGTTTCGCCACAAAAATAAATCACTAATAGTAACTTAAAAGTGTTATTACGCATTTTGCCGAACGGCCTGTGTAGGGGGCATGGAACTGTCCTTGCATCATAATGGTTCTGAGTTCGAATTCCGGGCAAGGCATGGATGTTTCTTTCTCTCTCTGTGTGTGTTCTAAGTCCTTTCTCCTTTGTGTGTGAATGTGACCCGCCCTATAAACGGGTTGCAGTTGTGTGAATGGCGGGGCAGAAGTCGAATTCCTGGCCATAGATGGCGCCACTGACAAAAGGAATAACCGCACCCCCGTTGCCTGAAAACAGGCATACGACCAAAAAAAAAAAGCATTTTAACCGCTATTTTAGATTATGTACTGCCGTATACATTTAGTACTGTTAGATTGATTCCTCTTCCTGTGCCACAAAAATACGTTCAAATCATTTATGTCCTCTGGATAAAATATTATAAAAAATTTATTAATATTATTAAAAATTTTTATTTAACTGACAGTAAAAAAATTTATTAATAAAGTAAAAACGTAACATAAGAAACACCGAAGTGAAATATTTTTCATTCTGCATAGTAAAATTATTTACATCGTAAAATAGGAAAATTCATAGGATAAAAATATAATCACATTAAAGATACGCAGAAATATTTTTTTTTGTATGCATTGTCAAAAAAATTCAACTTAACAAAATATCGAACAAAATAAAACGGACATGAAAAAATTGAAATATAAGTTAATTGTTTCGATATTAAAATAAACACGCGGTCTCAATGCGTTTTTATACTATACACATATATGAGAAAATATAGACATATTCTCATTATAGATGCGAATATATATTATACATATAACATAAAATATGGAAATAATCTTATTATAAATGCGAATACATAAAAATAATAATTTTTTAAATAATTACAAATTAACGAAACATCGAAGAAGAGTAAAATAGTTAAAAAGAAAATAGTATTATGACTTACTTATTTTAACATCAATAAAACAAACATGCACACACATATTTCTTTTCTGTGGCCTTCAAACGCATGTATACTTAAATCAATAACAACTGTGTTTTTCTTTTTCATATTTGCTCCACTTATGTGGAATATTATTTAAAACAATATTTTTTTTTTGCTCTCAACATGAATATAATAATAAATACAGTTTTTATGTTGCGCTTTTAATGAAAAATAGCTTTACAATTACAACCAGAAAGATTCATTGTTTTGAAGCAATACATTTTACTTTAGATATAAATGGTGATAACGGTTATTTATTAGATAACAATTTGTTGAAGATAAAGGGTATTTTTTTTCTTTTTTTTATTATCAAAGAAGTTTACTCGCTAATTTTTGTCGCCAAATTCTTTTCTTCCTCTCAGTTTTATGACTTTCTTAGGAAAAGCGGTATTAGACATTTATTTATCTGAAATAAGTTTAGTTATATATTATTCAACACTTTAACTTTTCCAAAATTAACAGTTTAAATTATCCGAAATATTCGTCGAATGCTTCAAAAAAAGGCTGATGGTTTCAAAGTAGGTGGCGTTCTAGTGTCATCATAAATTAAGAATATTTTCTCGATATTGCGCTTCGAAATAAAAACTAATTAAAACTCGATTTTTTTTGTACATTTACAAAAACATAAAATAATGAAAACCTATTTAAAATGGTAGTGAAGTATAAAAAAGGTTTAGTTTTTTGCCACTTTTAAATAATTTTATCAACCAAAATTTAATTCACAGATAGTTAGATTCAGGGCTGAATTTACTTACAACTAAAATGTTCTTTTTTTTAAATACAGATGTTCAAGTTAGAGGTACAACTAGACCAATGTTCCACTATCATTCAATCAATATTCACTTCCACTAATCCTAATCAGACGATTCGTATTCTTATCCTAACAGGAACGTATTCCTATTGGTTGCGTCTGTAACTGATTGATCATTAATGAATTTCCAGTAAATGAAGTGATGTCATCTTAGATATATTTATTATTTGATTTACTTGAGATCTAACTGATATCCTATCCACGAAATACAGGAAACCGCTTTAACAACGAACGTGTTGTCAAAATGAAGGTGCTTCGGCTGCCTTGTAAAACTTGAAAGGTGAAAGACAACTTATGAATTTTGAAATTGATTTATTTAATTAATTGCGTGAAAATATAGTAAGTTATTGAGTTTACTTAAAAGCATTTGAAGAGAATTAAAAGTAATAGTAAGGTTTTTAGGGTTCTGCCAGACAAATTGCAGGCAAAATTTTAGAGTTGTATGTCGATTGACTCTAATCTCTTCATCAACAACAAAAATTCACAAGGTACTAGACTATATTCATAATCTTGGGAGATGTGATATTCTTTCTGCCATTGACAAAAACTTTTACATATCTTCTGCTCACATGTTTTTCTGAGACTGTGTGCGCCATGAATAGAAAACATTCGAGAATTATGTTCTGTCAGTAAAATCTGTAATGATGAGAGTTGTTCTCTCATGAGCTGATCCATCTTAGAGAGACTAAACATATTAGATGGTGTGATGGATGGAATCCCCTTTTGTACGCGAAAAAGGATGAAGAGTTATGACGTGCGGCATTCTGATTGTCCACAAAATGTTATGACATCCTGTTTGGCCATGTGACAAGAAATGAAATCTTAAAGAATGACAAACAGTACTGAACAAAAAATAAACCCTAGGGTTTTATTTATTTATATTATAATACAATACATTCAAATTTAAAATACATACAATACAACACAATACTTTCAATACTATGCGATATTTACATTATATATGCGTTTCCTTTGTTTTTTTATCGATCAAAGAGTTTTCCCGGAATAAATGGATACTGTCTTTTCCAACAGGGTATCACAACTGTACGTAAATCCAAAGCCTCCAAAGAGTCCGAAAAATTGTATAAAAAGTCTCGGATGTTATCCCATTCTTGATCCACCTATGGAGCAATGAGTTAAAAATCCACATTAAAAAACACGTCTTGGGGCTCTATAGATTCAACAAACACTTGAGGCATATCCAATACTTTTGATGCAATAAACACTTGAGGCTTATCCAACACTTCTGATTCATCTAACGTTTGAGGCATATCCAACACTTCTGAATCATCTAACATTTGAGGCATATCCAACACTTCTGTTTCATCACAAGACACATGGGCTTCATCCAACATTCCCTTGAGATTCGTCATTTCCTTGAGGCATATCCAACACTTGGGTACTGGATACTTGTGAAACTTTAAACTCATCAGGATAATGTTACGTAGCCTCACATAGACTTCAACAGGATGAGCAAACAGCAAGCAATCAATGCGAGGCTACGCAACGTTTGAGTTTAGCATTCCACCCTCCCCCACGGACGCAACAGCGTTGTAACGTAAAAGCCGAGCTTCTTCTCCGGGCGCTACAGTCACCGTAACTTACAGTTACAGGCCAGGCTTCTACCGTTATCGATGCGAGACTACGTAACGTTTAGCTGAGCATACACCCCACCCCCACGGATGCTACAGCATTGCAACGTAAAAGCCAAGCTTCAGCTATGGAAGTAACAGCCAGTGTAGTCTAGAATCGACTGCGGTTGAAGCTTGGTCTGTAACTGTAAGTTACGGGGGCTGT